TGATGTTCCTGCCTCGCGATGCTCTCCAGCAGCTGCGCCTCGTCGAGAGCGTTCCCGAACGGCTGCTGGAGACCCGAGTCATGGGCGGCGAGGATCGGGGATGGGCTCTGGAGGCAATGCATCAACCCCGAATCGCACACTCATCGTCGATAGGGGACCGATAGCCCACCCCGCACAGAACCGTGCGGATTCGCTGTGGAGTGTCTACCGCTGGTCTATGGGCGGTGTATGGCCGATTCCAGCTCGGCCTTTCCCCCCCGAGTTGGCCCCCCCCTTACGGTTTCGTCCCCCTCATCGGGACCAGGAGAGGGGCCTGACGCAACCGGCAGGGGCGGCAGCCCTCCCTCCCCAAAGATTAAGTCCATGTTGGCGTCGGCAGGGCCCCTGGAGCTGGCCACCTCGGGGTCTGCGCAGTTGCCCAGCAGAGTGGTGCTCTGGTCTAGTGGCATCTGCTTCTTCGACGAGACGTCGGAGCTGCTTCTGGGCCGTGTCCCAGTGGCCAGCGTTAGAACGCCGCTGTCCCTTGAGGGCTGTAGGAGATGTCAGCGGAGGGAGGAGGCCGCAAGAGTAAGAAGGAGACCATGGCCAGGAGAGGAGGAGCGAGAAGGAGGGAGGAAAGGGAAGGCGAAGGAAGGGAGGAAACCATGGCGAGGAGAGGAGGAGCGAGAAGGAGGGAGGAAAGGGCAGGTGGAAGAGGAAGAGGGAAGGCTGAGTGGGCAGGCGAGGGGAGAGGAGGGGGAGGGGAGAGCCGAGCGGGGGGCGTACCCTCGTGATGAACATCTGGCACGACGGTTTCTGCGCCGGCCCGTGCTGCCAGGCTGATCCATCTTCTGCAGAAGCGCTCGGTATTGCCCTCCCTGCAGGAGCTGGGGCCCTGGGAGGGGGAGCGACAGTCTGGGGAGGCCGAGAGGGGGCGGGAAAGGAGGGGCGGAGAGGGGCACCATGGAGGGGGGCGGGAGAGGAGGGGAGGAGGGAAGCAGCGGAGGAGGGCACCGGGACGGGAGAGGAGCAGGGGGCGGGCGGAGGAGGAGGGGGGGCAGGAGGAGGAATAGCGAGGACGACGAGTTGAAAAGAAGAAGATGGAGGGGGAAGGGTGTGGAGGAGGAGGGAGGGGCACGGCGGAGGAGGGTGGAGGAGGTGGAGGAAGAGGAGGATGTGGATGAGTTGAGGGAGGAGGAGCGGCAGCAGTAGGAGCGGGTGGAGTAGCAGGAGCGTGCGGCGCTCTCGCAGGATGCTACACGCCAGCGCCACTGCGGAAAGCTGAAGACCACGAAGTCGCGAGCGGCGCGCGTCTGTTTGCGTGTGGTGAGAGTCTCTGTGTCTTGGTGCGTCTACGCGCCCGCGCACGCGCATCCGTAATCATGACCTCGCTTCAGCACGAGCACTTGTTTGGTGCGTTTGCTTGTCCGTCTGTCGACCCGTCGGTCGGTCTCATGGGCAGGTTGTCGGTTTGCCTGCCGACGCTTTTGTTTGTTGTTTCTCTCGCTCTCTCTCTCTCTCTCTCTGTCAGAACTCGGGCCCATCAGCCTAGCTTGCTGGTATGTCGGCTTGCCAGCCTCTGGCTTGCGTGTCGGGCCGGCCGTGCAGACGAAGAGACGTGCCGTGGAAGCGACGCTCGCGCAGACAGTAGGCGAGGGGCCTGAGCCGCCCCAAGGCCGTCGCCGCCAGGCAGCCCACGGTTCCGCGGTCTCGGCGTGCATGGTCTCCAAGAGGCATGGTCTCCGCGTGCACGGTCTCGGCGTGCACGGTCTCGGCAGCCCAAGTGGCGCCAGGGTCTCGGCGTGCATGGTTCCGCGGGCGTGGCAGCTGGCACCAGCGCGCTCGAGGCATCCAGGCTTTTGCAGGGCTCGCCGGGGGAAGCACGTCCCTCTCCGCGCCCCGCGCATCGGTCTGAAGCCTGCGGTCACATTGTGCCGCGGGAGAGGACCGTGCGCAATGTCCAGGATGCGCCATGCCAAGCCGGCTGGCACAGCTCAGGGCACCTTCTTGGTGAATTTGGTCGAGGGCTGCCTTCGGAGGTCGTACCGACGAGTTGCCACCAGTTTCTGATCCGCCGCGGCGCGTCCAGGCTACGAGAAGTTGTCTCTGCGATAGATCGGCGGCCGCCCCGTGCAGCAGGCATGGTTGTGGAATACCGATTGTCTGTGCTATCGTGTGATATCCAACGTTGACGGTTTCTCGAGGTGGGGTGCCGCAGCGGGCACGCGTGGCACATTTCCCACATACCAGGGAACCTCCAGAGTTGAACGATGCCAGCATGTATAGCAACATGTGCGTTGTCATGGTTGCTGGCTTCGAGTTGCGCAAGTGGGCCAGGCACCATCCTGGCCAACTCCTCATCCAGCCACCATCGGAGTGGGCCAACAACAACGCCACCTTCCTCACGAAAACTCCTTGCCCCTCCTGTATCTCTGCTTCCCCCAAAGACGACGAAAGAACTGCCTGAGCAGAAAATTTCGGAGCTCCGCGCAGATTTTCTGGATCGGCGCTACCCCCATCTGGCAGCGCCTCCGGCGCCGCCACTGGTGCGCTCCGCGCGCCAGGGAGGGGGACCCAGCGCAGATCCGAAATGTCCGCGTGGAGCTCCAGAAGTTTATGTGTATGGCGTTGTTCGTTCCTCTATACTCTTCCCTCCCCACTGTGACCAGTCTGAACTCAGGGAGTGGGCCAGACACCATCCTGGCCAACTCCTCATCCAGATAACATCGGAGTGGGCCACCACAATGACACCATTCACGCGAAAGCACTTTGCCCATGCTCCTCTCGCAGAAAGAAACGCCTAAGCATAATTGTTCAAAGCTGCGCGGACTTGGATCGGCGCCGCCCGTGGCGCGCTCCGCACGCCAGGGAGGGGGCCCCAGCGTCGATCCAAGGAATCCGCGCGGACCTCCGACAGTTTGTGTGTATGCCGTTGGCCGTTCGTCTATTACCCTACCTCCCTACTTGTAGCCAGTCTGAGCACAGCGAGTGGGCCAGACACCATCCTGGCCAAGTGCTCATCCAGTTAACATCGGAGCGGGCCAGCAACAATGACACCATCCTCGCGAACACTCCTTGCTCGATGCTGCTCTCGAAGAAGAAGAAGAAGCACTGCCCGAGCACAAACTGTCGGAGCTCCGCGCGAACTCCCTGGATCGGCGCTGCCCCCCCTCCCTGGTGCGCTCCGCGCGCCAGGCAAAGGGGGGGCCCAGCGTCGACCCAAGTAATCCAAAAGTTTATGTGCATGCGTCGTTGTGCTTCTCTACATAAAGCGTTGGGCAAACCTGAGGACAGAGATGTGCCTCCAGTCTCCTCCCTCCCCATCCCGGCGACTAGATCCGTGTTCGTGCTTCTCCCCTTCCTCCAGCGAGCACGGCGCGCTTCGTTGAGAAGTTGTTCACCGTTGGATGTCGGGCGCTCCCACAACGGGCCTGCTGCGGCGGGCGCGCGTCGCGGGCGTCTGACGCATCCCATGCGAGACGGCGAAACGGGTCCGATCGGACCGACACTGGCGCGCAAATGGCACGCGGAAGGCCGCGCGTGAGCCGCCCTCGTCTCTTCGCGGCGTGCCGCTGGCGGCCCGCGCAAGCCGCGGCGTGAGGTTTCTGCGCCACCTCGCGCAAGACCCCTGTCCTTCAGGAGGGGAAAAAAACACACAGACACAATGAATCGTCGATTCCCCCGAAAATATTGGAACATATGGGAAGTGGGGGGGGGAAGACAAAACCCAGAAAATCTGGGAACATATGGGGAATCCTTTTATTTGTGTGTATTTCTCTGTGTGTCCCAGGGCTCCTTCAGTCCTTGCGTCGCTGACGTGGCGGCGAGCGCTGCACAGCCAGGCGACAGCATCTCTGGAGTTCCCAGGGCCCGGACCTCCGGCGCAGCCAGGAGTTCCGAGGCGGAGGGTGTTCGTCGCTTTCAGCCTCCGGGGGGCCCTCGCTTTGTCCCCCCCGGACCAGGCCGTCGGAAAGCGGCACGGGATGCACGGCCAGCCCCTGGGAAGGGGTCGGGGCTTCGGGGGCCCCGTGCCGAGAAACACAGTACGTCGGAGACCCGGGGAAGTGCGAGGCCCGAGGTGCTCAAAAGATTAGCCACGGCATCGATCCTCCCTTCGATCAGTCGCCTGTCTCATCGAGCTCGTGCATCGATCCTCTCTCCTCGAGCTCGATCCCCTCCCTGTCCTCCCCTCGATCTTCGACCCCCGAGCTCGGTCCTCGAGCTCGTGCTCGAGCCTCCGCCAGGACCTCGCCGCGGCCCGTGGCGAGCCCGCCCGCGAAGTGGCCGGCATTGACTGCCAGTTCTGCTCCGACCCTGACGCCGTCAACGAGGAGGCGCCCCAGAGGAGGAGGGTTAGGGGGCCACATGCGAACCCTACCCCTACCCCCCACGATTTCTGAGGGGGAGGGGCAGGGTTCGCATGTGGCCCCATAAGGGTCGAAGGAGGAAGAACGGCCACGCAAATGCGCGGAGGCCCGCGCGGATCTGGTGGGTCGGCGCTGGAGGATCCCCTTTTGCGGCGCCTCCCGAGCCGTCCTTGGCGGGCTCCTGCGCGCAAGGGGAGCGGGGCCTGGCGCCGACCGAAGAGTTCCGCGCCAGTCTCCGAGCTTGCTTCGCTACGTTCTCTTCATGTGTCTCTACAGCCCCCCTGTTGCACGCTCCCTCTATCGCGGGAGCGTCTCGCCTCCTCCTCCTCCTTCTCCTCCTCCTTCTCCTCCTCCTCCTCCTCCTCCTCCTCCTCCTCCTCCTCCTCCTCCTAGTCGACATCGTCACTGTCATCATCGTCACCAGCATCACCATCATCAGTATCAGCATCGCCATCATCATCGACATCATCATCGTCGTCATCACAAGCATCGTCATCATAATCGTCATCATCACCATCATCATAAGCCTGATAAGCATAATCATCATCAGCATCACCAGCAGCAGCATCAGCAGCATCATCAGTATCAGCATCACCATCATCATCATCAACAGCATCATCATCAGCATCACCATCATCGTCGCCCTCATCGTTATCATCATCATCATCATCATCATCATCATCATCATCATCATCATCATCATCATCATCATCAGCAGCAGCAGCAGCAGCAGCAGCAGCAGCAGAAGCAGCATCATCACACCCTCCCAAGGCCGAGACGGCAGGAGACGGCTGGGGGCAGCTCGTGGGATAGGCCTCTGGGCCCAGACAGCTGCGGAAGCAGCCGCCGAGCTCCCTCACACCTTCCCCGCCACACGACCCGTGCAAGCTGGCAAACCAGAGAGAATTTTCTTCACGGCGTCCTTTCTGTCGACAGTCGCGCGCCAGAACAGTACGTGTCTACAGTGCCGTTTTAAATACATGCTCCGCGTGCGGATCATGTATTAAAAATGCAGGGAATAGTGTCAAAAACAAAATTGAGTTCGTGCATAAATTCACTCATGCATGAATCATGTATTGAAAAATCCTACATGTTGCAAAATCCTATGTATGAAAGACTGCCCTGTACCTCGGCGCAAGTACCAGGTCCCGCCCAGTTCGCAGGCCCCCTGCGCGGAACGGGCCGCCAACGGGGCCGCGCCGGCGCGAGGGCCCCGCACGCGGAACGGGGCGCCCGGAGGGCCCAGCCAGCGAGCACGCGGAAGTGGCCCTCTCCAGGGGGCCGGCTGCCAGCGCACCAGCGGCACAGGCCCTCAGAGACCGAGCCGGCACCCCCCCACCTCCCCCCCCCCACCCCCCACGTGGAGTAGATCTTGGCTGTTTGGGTGGCACCTGTTCCGAGCAGGTGGAACCTCCTCCCCCAGAGGCAGCACTTTTGCAAACAGTGGCACTGAGCAGAGGTCTGGAGCCAGACCCCCCCCCCTGCACTCCCTTTCCGCCCCATGTCGAATCGCCGATGAAAAAAAACGCTCACCCCCTGCACTCCCTTTCCGCCCCATGTCGAATCGCCGAAGAAAAAATGTCGAATCGCCGAAGAAAAAAACGCTCGGCGTGGCTGCGCCGGCGTAGTCTGGCCAGACGAACAACAGATGCTACTGCCACGATGTTTTCCAAATTTTCCGGTGGCAATCCTAAGGAATGTCGCTGTGCATGCTCATCCCCGTGTTCTGAATCAGGACCGGCCTTTGGGCCGATCGGGCGTTGCGTTGCCAGCGACACCACGCGGAACAGGCCCGCTGGGGGCCCAACCAGCGCGGGGGTTGAGCGTTTTCCCGCCAACGGCAGGGGGGGGTAGGCACAGTCCCGAGCTTGACCTTGATTCAACGCGGCCCTGCCGAGCCAGGTCTTTGAGACTGCCACCTCCACATTCCACCTTTCCCTGATTTTTCTGGCAAACCAGCCGCGCACGGTGAACTAGAGGCACTTGCGCCCAAACACAGGCCCTAGCCACTAAGGCTTACCTTCACATGGGGCTGCCCGTCGGGCAGCGAAAAAAAAAAACACACCTCCGCCCTACCCCAGGATGGCTAGGCTCTGACCATTACACCCTTGAGTGTCTGGATCGCCTCCAGTTCTTTGGACGTAAACGTGGCTTCCCGAAGCTTTACTAGGGCGTCAGTGATATAGATTCGGGCCGTCGTGATGTTTGCTCATCGACCTCTCAGGGCGGTCCCGTTGATATCCCCCGTCGCTCGATAGCGATGCGATGTTCCACCGCTCCTTACGCTGCACGGCTAGAGCCCGTACGCTGGCAAGCCCGGGACCCGAAGGGCCCCATAGAAGAGCTTCCGAAATTCCGGGGGCGCTCGGGCAACCAAGGGGCCCCCCGGCAGGAGCTTTTGGAGGACTCGAGAGAGCCACTTTACGAGGTCCGCGTCATCGACGCTTAAAATATCATGCTGATGCAACCTCTGTCCTGACTTCGCGAGACGGAGATTGACGACAGCATTATGTTTAGTCTTGGCGATCGTGACGTCACGCTTCCGAACCGCCAAGACTTCGCCCGTGCGTAGCACGCAATAAACGCCACTGCCACGGCGAGAGCAGATATCGGGTGCCCCACGTCGCACATTACACCTTCGATCGCCAACGTCACCGCCTGAGTCAACATCGGAGCCCACTCTGGCAACTCAAGCTTGTCTCGCGCGGCGTTCAGGCGCCACGCCGCCAGAAAATGATGCCTGGCGCCCGGGGTGAAGTGCTGCACCGCTGCGAGGGCGTAGGCGGCCCAACGTTCCGGCCCGCCTTCCATCCAGAGGTATTCAACGTACTCTGCACACAGCTGGTTCAGCTGATCCAAATTCAAGACGCTTGGCCGAGATGCTTGGCCATGCGCCCACTCGAAGAATGTCGCAGCGAATTCAGCGCATTGCGACATCACACGTTTAGTTCTGATGTTGTCGCTCAGCCTGCCCATTGCCGCTCGTGCCGCCTTTCTAGTCCCCCTCCCGCCCTCGGCGCCGCTCGACCTCAGCCTCTTAGCACCCATGGCGCCCTGTTTGGTGCGCCGGCGGGACTGTCCGCCGCACGCGCGTAGATGAAGAAGGGGTCGCAGAAGGTCGCGAGGCAGAGGGCACTGAGGCAGCATAGCACGGCATTCAGGCGGCGAGGCGACGAGCGGCCCTTCGCAGCGACCGTCACAGTCACTTGCGAGTCTACAGAAAGGCACACCCTCGTGCCAAGGACTCTGAGATGGCGCATGCGCCACCTCAACGCGTTGTGAACCATCTGCAGCTCCAGCTCGTGGACGCGGTGCGAGCGATGGAACCGCATGGCAACTGCGCGGTTTCAGCACCAGCGGCGCTGGTCGACAATGACCCGCGGCCATGCGTTTTACCGATGCGGCAGCCCAATGTCCAGACCTACATCGCTGCCCCGATGGTCGGCGCGGCCGTATATCTCAAGCGCCAGGTTGCGCATGACCTCATCCGAGCTCTGTTCGCTCGGCGGCTGCGCCTCGGCACTGGGCCTCTGTGTTGCGGGCGCGTCGCGATCCAGGCGCTGCTGGCCCACCCAGCACGCGCGCCTTGCGCCTCGCTGCACACTTGCAGAAGGCCGCCCGGATCACCGACGGCGTCGGGGGATGCTCCAGGAGTTCGGCGTGGTACGAGCCTTGCCCGACGAGCCGCGCCGTCACTTCCGTGGAACGCGTTCCCGAGCGGAGAGCACCTCGCGTCCTCGTGCCCCCGACGCTGCCAGGGCCCCAGCTCGCGCAGGTCTTTCTTGCCAGCCAGGCGCGCACCCGGGCCAGTGCCCCATGAGGACCTCACGCTCCGACGCCGTCGCCACTGGCGAGCCTCCACCGCTGATGCGATACTGCGCCCGGCACTGGCACGGCGCAATTCTATCAGGCCGCCGGAGACCAGGACGCAGATAAACCAGGACTGAAAACCACAGAAGGGACACCCTTTCCTGCAAAGCCACATCTTCCAGCACCCGTGCATGTTCTGTTTGCTGCGCTGCAGGATTCGGGCTTGCGTCCGGGGTTATGTAGGAGCGCCTCGCAAGCTTTTAGGGCCTGTGTCGGGTTTATTTTGAAGATGCTGTTGTGCAGTATGTTGTCCGTGCCGCCGCTTGGGAAAAATCGGTCTCGAGGGATGTTGCGTGTCCGGGTCCAGCGTGTCCGGTATTACGGGGCCCCGATTCTATGGCGGTCCTCGCTCCAGTGCTCGAGTGCGATCGCGTCACACCCTTCCCTCCCCCTCGGATCGGGCCGAGGCCTCGCCCGCGGCATGGCTCGCGCGAGCGTGGGGGGCCCCTGCCCCGGAGGCGCGCCCCGCGCGCGGCCCTCCTCTGGCCATGGCCCGCGCGGCTCGAGCTCAGACGACGTCGGCTCCTCGGCGACCACGATGCCATCCGTCTCGACCACTGGGCAACTTGGCCAGTGGAGCCACGGGCGCGCCATGGCCCCCGGCATCACGACGGCGCCACCGATCTTCACAGGAGCGACGTTCTCGCAAAAGTCGAGGGCAGGGTGTCATGGAACACCACCCTCAGCACTGCCTGCAGCCGGGGCACTTCGAAGAACAGCGCTCAGCGCGGGTCAGCCAGACCTGTGCCCTCGGGGTCGAGCCCACTGACTCCCTGGCAGGGAGGTCCGCACGCACCCACGACCGCAACAGTGCCAGAACAGGCTCGCCTCGGGTCCTCGAGCTCGCGCCGTGCCACATTGCACACGTCAAACCAGTCGATGCCACCTGGCCAGTTCCCCCTGTAGACTCCACGGGTTCCTTGTCGGTCTCGGCGTAGCCAGCGCAGATCACGTGCGCCCCAAGCCTGTCCACGCTCATCCCGAGGCCACCGATCCCGCCGAAGAACTCCACAACCGCGACCCCGCGTTCATGCAACGCGACAGGGACCGATGCGCGCTGCTGCGCCGCCGCGACGCCTTCGGTCATGAGATTGACC